GCAGGTCTGTTACTAAAGCACCAGTTTTAGTAACAAACTCTCAACTGCATACTTTTAAAAATGGGATTTTTAACAGTAATGTAAAAACTAAAAGTTCTTCTGTAATTATTTTTATTAAAAGAGAAAACACATTAATGACATTCATTAAGATGTACAGACAGGCAGAGATGGGGGTTGGGGAAAATACAAAGACAGTGACTGTTTTTACAACTGCGTTCTGTAAAAACTTCCTGTCAGTGATTCCTGAAATACCATTTACAAGAGTTAAAGACAGCATAGAGAGGATATCTGGGCTGGGGTTTGGAAGTTGTTGGCCTTCTGTGGGGTGTCGGAGAACTGTTTGAACCTAATGTGTGACAAAAGAATCCACTGCCCTCTCTTACCTGTCTCTAAAAGTCCTGCAACGATTTATCAGAGATGCACAGAGCGCGGACGGAGAGAAAATAAAGGTGGTTCACAGCAGGCAACTTGCTGCATTTTAAACTGATGCGATCCATACATTATTAGTAAAACTACTCTTAAGAGATCTACGTAACATATTTAACAAATTGTGTTATTAAAGTGTTTATTTATTTAGTCGTTGTCAGGATTCCGACAGTTTTTTCCAATAAATTGTGGTTTATTCTCTACATTCAGGTTGAGGGTCATATGATGATGAAGCTTTGATTGCACAATCCCAAGAAAGATATGGAAAAGTATAAAATAAATATCAGCTGTTAATAATCTCCTGATGGCAGAGTTGTTGTTATCTGTGGGCGCTGGAAACGCTGTTTGTATAATCGCTCATTAAGACCAGTTTGAACACTAATAACTGTTAATTCTGTCCTACCTGTAGCAGGTGGAGTTTTCCCACCTATAAGTAAATAAATACATGATGCAGGTTGGACACTTATTTGTGGGACGTGTAGCATTTATTGACTGCAAAATATTTGAACCAGAGTACTGACATGAATTGCAAAGGTGAAATACCAAGATTAGTGACAGACAGCTTGAATAAGCAGCCAGGACTGTGATCATTACCATTATGACTGTTCATTTATTGGGAAAGTTTAACTGGCGGGAATTACCAATAGTTTTAAGCACAGTGCCAGACCCTCGTGGTTCTCTCCTTCAGCAGCAGTTCACTGACCTTATTTAATCATCAGAAAAATTAAAATAAAGTGCCAAATATTTCTGGCAGACAGCACACACACATACATATTGTTGTGCAGTTGGGGCATGTTTAAATTAAAATTTAACACGAACTACTGCATTGATTTAGTAACTGAAAGGTCAGACACTTTTTTGAGGGACAGCCACCGTCTCTGTTGTTGCATTTGGAGTGTCCATTTCACAGGGTAATGTTATAAGAGGAGTCAGACAAATGTGATTTCACCAGTACTGCCAAACGTAACTATCTGTGATGGCGCTATGACTGTTCGTTTATTAGCAAAGCCGATGCATACAGTAACTGGCATGGCTGGAATGCCCACACATGTACAGTAGATGCTCTGGTCCCTCTCCTGCAGTACAGTAGTGTTTCACTGACACCTATAAATTTAGACCAGAGCCCGACATATTTCATCATTAAAAGCATCATTACATTGTTACTGCTGTCATGGTGCTCTCTGTCTGACCTTTTGTATCTCTAAAAATATACTTTTCTCTTACAGGACCAACCAATCATCAACTTTTGCTTAAAATTTGATTTTCATGTTTTAATTAAAAAAAGACATTGTCGTGCCATGCTTTCATGTCCAGTAACATTACTGAGGAATAACCCAAGAATGCAAGCATCACCTTTTGCTTTGTATCTTGCTTATTCAGTGTGCACAACCTCTGTAAATGAATGGACTTCCATTAGCACTGCGCCCCCTGGATGATGCACAAGACATTACACTGTTTTTTATAAATGCTGCTTGGGAGCGTTAACCTGTTCCTGTTCGCATTGTATACGTCACAGGCGGGGAATATCGTTACAGTCACGGATCAACCGGCCATCGGGCAGGAATCCACCAGGTATCTGTCATTGTCCTGTCAGGAATGAGGTGGTTATTTTAAGTGGCTGTATCTGTACCTCACGTGTTTGAGGCTTGGCCAGATGTTGAGGAGGGTTGTTGTCCTAACCCAGAAAAGAATTCTGTGATCGTAGACATTTGGTGCTGCTGAGCTAACCAGTGAATTCCTTCTTTTTTGCCACTTCTAAAATTCTTCCAATCTCTCTCATATGTTTATTTTAGTTTTTCAACCTGAAGTCCTGTTTGGTAGCTTATTCACTCTTAATACTAACTTGGGCACTGCCGGTTTAGAAATTACAGAGAGTCCCTGTTATCACCAAATGCAAGTTTGCTACTCAAATCAATCCCTGGCTCCTCATATTTGGATGTTGACATGTGCCTGGGGGAGGATACTGAACCCTAGTTAAGTGTAAGCATGTATGTGTTTCTTAAATAAAGAATGTTAGATAAATAATGTGTGTGTGTGAGCGAGTTTGAAGTGGCTTATTCAGAGTAGAAGAGCATTTATGCACCTTTAAAAATGGGGGAATCTGCATAAAAATGGCTTTGAACAGTTAATGCAATACTTTTGTTAACCCCCTGCTTCAATTATATCATAATGATTGTTTGATTTAAAATCCACCATGTTGGTATACAGAGGCAAAACAACAAGACATATCATTGTATCATTGTGCAAAGCATTCCAACCTGACTGTAAGCCAAACAAGTAAACATGTTACAAAGAAGAAAAAGATGTACATACTTGGTGGTGTCTGCAGGCTGTGGTGTGAAGTTTCCTTCTGAGTCCATAGATGACTGTTTCTCCATCATGGCCATGTAGTTGGACTCCATATACTCTGGAGGAAGAGCTCCAGCCACAGCACTAAGACATGGCAGCGCCAGTTTAAATAGCTCCTGGTCGTACTGCTACATTACAACACATACACAGTATGTAAGTGTGTTGCTTCAGACATTATTGTGAACATTGAAGGCTGTCTGTTTATCATTTGTTTAAAGCAAATAAACTTGGGGAATATTCAGAATCTGTCATGAGGGTGAAGTGAGGGTTGAAATAGAGAATTCCAGGCACAGCAGATAAATTATGAGTTTTATTAAACAGTGTGTCCAAACAAAAGGCAGAAATCTATCCAGCGAAGATTAGAGAAACATAGGGAGAAGAGACGGGCAGGAGTGGGTATACTGGTCTCCCTTGCTCCCTGCCTCCTCTTTCCCAATGGGCTTTACTTGGAGGATGAGCGGGATGCTTCCCCGCACCTTTTGGTCCTGATTGGTGTTTTTTTTGCTAATGTGCATAATGAGAGGCCCAACATTCTTTTGGAATCATTGGGTGGTGTACGCACCATCTAGGGACTATTGTGTTGCTGGTAGTAGGCAATGACGGTATAACTTGGAGAAGAGTGAGTGGGAGTAACGGCCTTGTTATGCTTGTCCATAGAAGTGCGACCCATGTGCATTCTTTGAGCTACCACTAGATGAGCCTCACCTTGTGGGACAGGGCATCAAATATTCCCCAGAACATTTTCCTAGAGAGGTGCAGCTCTTCATCTGACGCTACTCCAAAATTGCCCCAACCTCCAGCCAAACAGTAGTACTTCCAGCAACGCTCGTAGTGATTGGTCAACAGCTGAGAAGTCAAAAGCACATTAATTACCAGTCAATATATGACTGAAGCTAAATGAGTAAGTAAGGTGTTGCTGTAATTCAATCATATTTTCCCATAACAACTTAATGCACTTAATCAGTAACAACATTAGTTACGAACCATACAATTATACTGTTATTTGTGCTTCACGGATTTTACAGTTTTTCCACAAAGGGCTAGTGCACATATTTTATAAATCTAATGGTAATTTGGTGTGTGCATTTGTTTTTTTGCACTGGGTAAGAACATTTCTATGTTTCATCTGTGCGTTTTCAGTGGGAGAAACATCATCCAAGTGACGTCTTCAGTCTCAGCTGACTGTAGGTTTCCCCAACCTTATAAACATTTGCATAATGACTGAAACTAGCACCACTGAATGAACAATGACCAATCAAGGAGGTCATTTACATGAAAAGGGAAAGACCATCTCTAAATCGAGGAGGGGGCCTAAGGGTACATCTCTGGCCATCTTACAATGCTGTGATTGCAGCCATTCCCAATTCTCTGTGAGAATTTGCATATTAAGGATCAAGGAACTGACCTCACAGCCCATTGTCCCTTCAGTGGTGCTAGTTTCAGTCATTGTGCAAATGTACTGTTTATAATGTTGGGGAAACCTGCAGTCAGCTGTGCATGAAGATGAACTGAATCAACCTTTTGGCATATTGATGAATGTTCCCCACTGCATGTAAAAAGATACACACAGTTGAATGGTAATTATGTGTAATTATCTGAAGTTCAGTTCAGTTCAGTTCTTTTTTATTTCAAACATATACATTCACCAGCGTTTCATGAAATCATTCCATGCAGTTGTTTGAAAAGGAGTAGTCAGAAGTATATACTTATTTAGCCCCACCCCCTCAGGTTTACATCCTCATCATCTAAATTTGAACAACAAAAACGTATACACCGCCTTCAACTTAGAACATAACATCACAAAAAATATTTTCTCATGTTCGACTAAAACTATATTTAGATTTGCTAATTTGCAGAAGAAAATAAACATGAGTTTGACTGCTGTCTTGGGTTAATTGCATTTTCTTCATTCTTATACTTATTTAATATTTCTTTTTTGAGTTTTATTTTAAACTGGTTTATATCACTGCTGACCTTTATTTCTTCTTTTAACTCATTCCATAATTTAACTCCCGCTATTGAAATAGACATCCTTTTCAATGTTGTTCTTACTCTTTGTAATTTTAAATTCCACTTCCCTCTAAGATTATACCTCCCTTCTCTTTCTAAGAACCATTTACTTATTTCGATTGGGAGCATCCCTTTCCTTGCCTTATATATTATTTGCACTGTTTTAAACTTCACCAGATCCTGGATTTTTATAGCTTGCGTCCTAATAAAGAGTGCGTTTGTGTGAGCCCTATACCCTAATGGCCCTTTTCTGCATTATGATTATAGTCTGAGTATTACTTTTATACGTATTTCCCCAAACCTCCACACCATAACTCATGTATGGTAATAGCAAAGCGCAAGTGCCTCAATTCTATGCTTTATATTAACTAAAATGCCATATAACCATTTAGTGTAGTATTAAGTGGACACGCCCTGAAAGTAGATAACAGGGAACCATCCTCTAGTGGAAAGTTACTGAAACATGGTTGTTTTGACTAGAATGAGAGAGCTGGTAATAATAATGGATTGCATTTATATAGCGCTTTTCGAGACTGTCAAAGCACTTTACAATTCCACTATTCATTCACACACTGGTGGAGGCAGCTACAGTTGTAGCCACAGCTGCCCTGGGGCAGACTGACAGAAGCGAGGCTGCCATATCGCACCATCGGCCCATCTGGCCAACACCAGTAGGCGGTAGGTGAAGTGTCTTGCCCAAGGACACAACGACCAAGACAGACAGAGCTGGGGATCGAACCGGCGACCTTCCGGTTACAAGATGAGCTTCCCAACCCCCCTGAACCCCAAATAAATAATAATAAAACTCTTAAGCGTGCGTCACCATTTTGAGATCGGCGGCTGTAGGAGCCATATGAGTTGTTCCTTTTTTGATTAAGTGGGTTGGTTTAAATGGACTCACTGTATTGGTGCACGGGTGTGGGGCGTGTCTCATGGGTGTGGTAGATGATAAATGTGGTTGCACTCACCTGTTCACCGCACCTGATGTTGATGAGCAGAAAGGTAGGGTGAACTTTCTGTTGACTGCAGCTTGAGCGCAGCTTGAATGATTTTGATGTATTTTAACTGTAACTTGATGGTTTATGTATATTTATGCACTAATTGATGCCATAGGCCAAGTTGTAGTTTGGCATAGTAGTTAGTGCAGTTCTTTGTGAGTAGCAGTTATTTGTTTGTGCAGTCTGTGCATTTGTTTAATAGTTACTCCCAGGCGCTGATTTGTATATTGGACAGTTGCATGTGGAATAAAAGGAGTAAATGGTACAGAAGTGTATTTTATGTGTCTATTGTTGCGCGTCATCTGTGTCCTCGTGTTTAGCCTGCCGCGGCCATTGGTTGAGCCGCAACAGCGGCACTGTGTCATGCAGGACGCATCTCGCTTCTAGAAGTAATTTTGTGAGACAATAAAGTGTGAAAGGATCTACTGAGCAGTGTTTTGTCTTCCATCAGATGCCTCTGAGGAATCAAAAGAACGCGGTGAAGTGTTGATATTTAACACAATGCATCTTTGGCCATGTTATAGAGTACTGAAAATGTAATGTAATGAGTAGTAATTGCATTCTTAGGGGAGTAATTAAGTAGCATAACTATTAAAAACAAAAACTCACAAGTAAGATGTAATAGATTGCATTTTTAGACAACAACCTGAACACTGGTTCCTATACATGCAAACTTTGTTTCCGACTTTGTTTCTCACCTTCAGAGGCATCTTGGTGTGCTCATTAAGTAGAGGAACATCAAACACCAGCCTCCTGAGTAGGTGCTGCATCATTGAAGGCCTTAGCTTACTGTACATTAAGAGGATTCCATACGTTAGTGGAATGTACCATCGCTGATCAAGAATACAATCAAATACGATCTATAGCATGTGTTTTTAAAAAAGGGTAGACTAAATGCTAAATACTCATTAAAGGTTGACTCATATGTGCATGTATGTCTTCATCTTACCCACAAACAGCAAGCAGACACTCCTCTATGGAGTCCCTCTGAGCTTTGGTGAGGCAGCAGCCTTTGGACAGGCGATAAACCGTATGAAGCAGCGAGTCAATTAGTGAGGCGAACGGCTCCGTCCCCGCAAACAGCGGCGCACATTTAGTCAGGAGAGGCAGCACTGCTGTACACAGATACCTGTTGAGCGCCAGTGCCATGTCTGTGGCACTCAGAGCAACCTAACACAAAGAATAGAGAGAAACAATAACAACGTAATAGAGAAAGTACATGTGTGGCATGTACATATGTTTTTATACCACTGGGGGAATACTATACACAGTGAATAAAGTGCGTAGTTGTGCCAGTAAGAAACAATATCAATGGCTAAGTGTTGTGTTCCCTGGGCCTTGGACCGATGGGCTTTGAGTTTTCTGGAGTTCTTCTGTTTTTTAGTAGTGATTAACTTTGTATTTTGGTTCTATTTTCTGTTGTGTTGACATTTATCCTTCTGTTGTTGGTTTCCTTGTTTATTGCTGTGTTTTTTGTGTGTGGTTCAGTCATGACTCCTTGTTAGTTTACCTTTTGTCAAATCTGTATTTCTGTTCCTGAAGAGAAAGAAATATACACACAGACAGAAACTTACGGTGTCCAGAGAGGCGGCAGACCTCAGGTCTGGTAAGAACCCAACCTCCAGAAGGTGGAGAAGAAAATTCTGGTCTTCTATACCATAGACACGGTCCAGGAACAGCACCATGGCTGCTTTGTGGTCTGGGCAGAAACCTGCTGACATGTCTGGCTCCACAACCAACCCATCTGTACATGCACGCAAACACAATTCAATTCTTGATTGCTGATATTACAGGATCAGTTACTGTTATTACTGGATTAGATGTCATCATGTCAGATGACTTTCTTACCTTTAGCCAGGTTAGGCATAGAGAATGAAATACTGATGACTCCCACCAAGTCTTCAATAGGAATAAGAGACCTCAAAATCGCTCTGATACGGATAGCTTCACCTTTACCAGCATGGATCAGCTAATAGAAAAGAGGTAGGGTTTAAGTGAGTGCACTATATACGTAAGGCTGCATGTAGGAGTTGTGCATTTTGAATCGCTGGTACTCCACTTGAAGGCCAGCCAGCACGGAGCCCGTAAGACCACACATACGGCCAGTGGCAACTCTCACTATCAGTGACTCAATAATCCAAAATATTAAAACAAGCTCAGTCCCAAACCCCTCTTACCTGGGAGCTATTGTCTGAGACATAGAGAATAAAGCTACTGGAATTCTTGCTTCCGGGCAATCTAAAAGTCTTTGTGCATGCAATATCTGCGAACAACAACTACAGCTACTCAAAAGAGGCTTTGAAAACACATTCTGCTCACTAAAGAGACACGTCGAGCACATTTTTAATCTGTTTGTGAACACAGTCAGCTATTCAGACACAATGCAAATGAAGTCGGGAGAAAACTTCTCTCCTCAATCATTTCCTAAGGCATTTTCCAGTCAGGCGCTCTAATTGGAGATAGGACCCTGTATAAATAGGTCATTGACTAGGACGACAAAGACAAAACAGAGACAGCTGAACAAACGCACGTGTGCAGTACAAAGTAACTCACATGCATCTCTGGAGCACAGCGGCCCAGCAGGTCAATGAGAGCAGAGTAGAAGGTCATGATGGCATTTCCCATGTGAATTGTATCATCTTCCTCTTCCCCTGGCATGTCACTGCTACACACAGAGACACACTCTCATATTAAATGCCCCTAAATACTTCAGACCATTTTCTTCTGACCTGTTATGCTCATTTCCCACTCTGTGCTTGTACTGTAGTTACTCATGAACTTAGTGACAGGATAATTGGTTCAGGCTGATGTTTGTCTGAAATTGTTCTTTTCTAAATGGAAAACACAGGAAGAGATAATCTGCTTGAACATTGTTAGTACTGGAAATACGACACGTAGTTTAGGAAGTTACCAAAAGGTGTGCCGAAGGAAAATAGTGCGCTCAAAGTCATATCCAACTGAACCCTGGGATTTTGTGGCAGGCATTCATAACTATTCAATATATACATCTGCACAACAAATTATAATTGCTATGAGTCAGCATTTTGTATGCCCTAATTTCCATCTTAAGAAAATCCCTTAACATTTAACAGGTTGTCGACAAGCCATCTAGACTTGTAGACTCATGTACAGACCTTTGTAAGGAATTTAGTCTACCAGGCAGACCAAATGCAAACAGTCGACATGATTGTGCTAGCGAGCGCTTCCTGTTAAAAGTGAGGTCTTTCTTGCCAGTGTCGCCAAGTGCTGCTTATAGGGAATTATCTGACGGCTGGTACCTTGAGTGTCTGGAGATAACTGCTGCTATGAATGGGTGCTGTATAAATATAAAGGAAATGTAATTGATCCTTGCCTGTTCAGTCCAACTGATCAGTCCTGTTCTGTCAGTGTGAACTTTAATATGTATATGTAAGTAATCAGGTTAGAAGTGTTGTCATACAGTGCCTTGCTGCTCTCAGACATAGGAGACGGACCATCTCTGGAGGGATCCTGAGAGATCTTAATGGCCTCCTCCATTGCTGCCAACAACCCATCACCACCTTCACCTCGAAGAGCCGGGCCAAAACATTCTGGTCGACGAATAAGGAGCCTTACCACAACATTGGCATTCTCCTCCACACTTTCACCTGGCCACATAACAGGGACAAGTTGCTAAGTTTGTGGTTGCACATGATACAAACTCCAGTGGAAAATAAATGATCTGACTGCAGTCGTATGGTTACATTTTTACCATTGCAGAAGACAGCAAAGCGCAGGAAGTCAAGGTATCGTTCCCCCTCCACAGGGTTCCAGCCAATGTCAGGGTATCCCTTACGGACCAGCATCACACAGCTCTGCAGCCCACACCCAGCTAGATATTGTACCACCTGCAAAAATAAATTATTATTATTATTTTGGGTTGTTTGTTTCAAAAAGAAAAAATATAGCACAGTGGAAAGACACCGACAATTTAAATTTAATTAACAGAGATAGAACAAAGCACAAAGGGCTTCAGCAGTATGGGATAGAGATGGACCGATCCGATATTACGTATCGGTATCGGTCCGATACTGACGTAAATTACTGGATCGGATATCGGAGAGAAATAAAAAATGTAATCCGATCCATTAAATATCAAAAAAGCACCTCACAAAACTTGCGACATGGCGACTCGGCTCATAACCGTAGCACGTCGGAGCAGTGTGCTCACGTGATAGAGCGGCTGTGTGTGTTTGTAGCCTTGCTGGTAATCCCGCATTTCATCATCCCAGAGAGAAGTGAAGCAAGTGTGTAAGTTCATCTCTGAATGTTTGTAAAGCATTCCAGCGTTAAGCTTAACAAGCGATATATGGAGCGACTGCCTCCCTCTCTCTCCTGCTGCTGCTTCAATCATGAAACTGCTTAATGATCAGCTGATCGGCTTTTCTCTCTTGTTTGTTTTTGGCCCACTTCGTGCCAGAAAGAGGAAACCAGCGGCTGAACAACAGCAGCACGTTTAGGGCATGAACAGGGAAAAGGGGGCACAAAGACATACTTTTCTTTCTTATTCTCATTTAAAATGTCGAGCTTTTAATAAATAATTATCTGAATATTACACCCAAAGTTTTAATCTGATGTAAAATGTATAGAAGTCCATTACTGTATATAGTAACTGTTAAGTTTAATATACCCTAGTAAGCTGTAGTACTTTTTCCTTTGGGAAGGTACCATCTGTGCAGTCTGCAGTTCTGCTGAAGAAAGATGTTGCTGGGAGTTTGCAACCCTATTAGTTAGGTTGCTTAATATTTCTGCTAAGTTCTCTTTAAAATACCAGAATAGGAAGGATGTTGCAGGTTTAAGTTTATTAGATTGATCAGTTTTGCTGAACTATGAAATATTTTGGGTGCAGTAAATTTTTTACATACAGGTATAACAGAATAGCTTTAGTGTTGTTGTTTATTTAAACTTGAGTATGAACTTATACAAAATGCAGCAAGATATTAAAAAAACAGTTTTATTGATTAAAACACACTATATCGGATTCATATCGGTATCGGCAGATATCCAAATTTATGATGTCGGTGTCGATATCGGACATAAAAAAGTGGTATCCCTAGTATGGGATGCCTGACCCGTTGCCATGGGACATAAACTGTGCCCACAGCTAGAGCTTGGTTCACATTACCGGCAGCGGGGACGGATCTACTGTGGTGGCATGTGCCACCTTAAAATAATCTCAGCGTGTAGCTTTCTGGATTTTATACTAATACATTTGTTTCCGGTGTCACCAATTCATAGCCTTTACAGACTATACAGGAATAATGGAAAATCTCAATTTGGCGGCCTGAAGATTTGCTTTGTGCAGGTGATGCTGTAGCCCACAGTCACAGTCAGATAAAAGTAGAAACCTTTGGTCAGAATTACTACTCCTGTGGTGTAATGTACTGCAAACTCTAAAGCAAAATTCTAATAAGATGACTGTATAAAAAGTTATTGTTGTGTTGAAAGCCAAATACATTTGATTCTTGTTATTTATTCATTTTTGTTTAACAGTTGTTATTTTCTGACCTTGATGGACAATTTCATTTTTAACCAATGGGAATTGTTCTTCAGCCTTTAACCGTTTTCCGTTTGGTTACGCTGGTAAGGCTGATAACTAAATATGAGGAACATTGTTGCTGTTGAAAAAGAGGTTGAAAAGCGAGACGTCTGTTTTGTTAACTGCTAGATCTGGAGACCTGAAGCTGTTTCTTGTAAATGCAAAGTGCTTTGCACTGGCGAGTAGACTTTACAGTTGCCGCTGCTAACCAACATGCTGAAATGTTAACCCCGCTAACTGCTGCTATATAAACTCGTACTCTCTTTTTTCTAAGTGGTTTTAGCCTGGAAGCTGAGTACATATTTGCATCTACATGTTTTAAAGTAGTGTTTCTGCTAACCACTGCTATTATCAATTTGTATAATGAATGGGGTATAGTGAGACTGCTGTCTTAAAGGAGCAGTATGAATAAGACCTATGGAACTGATTAAGTTAATTTCATGATTGGTAAGGAATCAGATTAATATGCATTATAAAATATTTGATTTTGATAGTTGTGCACCAAATTTAAAACAGAACTTGAATTTACAAAGGAATACAGAACCGATTTGGGGATGAAGTTTAAGCCTAATTTTGTACATGCTTTCTTCCTTAAGCAGACATGTTTATGTATAATTGTCAGCGTGCATGTGAAGTAACTCTGAGCTCTGTGGCATATTCAAAGGTGTAGGGAGATGCTGGAGAAGGTTATACATGGAGCCAAGGCTCACCATCTACTTTTGTAACTTTCTCTGAGGCAACAAGAACTTAACAGACCCTAATCTTCATAAGATGGCAGCTCGCACCCTCGCCAGATTCCCCTTGCACCCTGGATACCACCCGTTTGACCCGCTGCCCTGTGGTCGACACCTCAGGTCAATCAAGTCATATCTTCTTCCCCAGACTGTATTTTATTCCACCACAGTTGGTATAATTTTGTTGTACATGTGCTGTGACAGTAACGGGCTCTTCTATTCTATAGGCTAAAGTAACCTCAGAATATCTAATACAATTTACGGTTTTCCTTTTGTGTGTGTCTAAGTCTTTGTCAGCCTCACCTTCTCCAGGTCTGGCTCTCTTAAAGCAAGGGCAAGCTCATTATTATCCATGACTGATGCTGCAGCCACATCCAGAGGAGTGGATCCTCGCATAGATGGAGATGCTGAGAAGAGGAAAAGACATATGTAAAGTGTATGCAACTATACAAACTTTCACAATAGACAGTCATTTGCTCCAAAGCAACAAACATCCCAGAGCTAGAGAGGGTAGTCTGTCAATCCAAAAGTCAGTGGCAATCTGGGCAGCTGTTGCTCAGGAGGTAGAGCAGGTCACCTACTAATCAGGAGCTTGGTGGTTCAACCCCCATCTGCTCTAGTCTTCATGCCAAATATCCTTGGGCAAGATACTAACCCCCAGTTGCTTTACGATGCAGCCATCAGAGCGTGAATGTTAGATGGAAAGCATAAAAAAGTGCTTGTGCAAATGGGTGAATGAGGCAAGTTGTGCTCAGAGTAGAAAAGTGCTTTATCAGAACCAGTCCATTTACCATTTACTTAATCCCCGAATGTGTGTTAGTGTGAATGCGTAAATGTGTATTCTAAAGTGCTTTGAGTGAGTAGACAAGATTTATATAAATATACACTGCAAAAACTCAAAATCTTAATATATTCTAGTCTAAATATCTCATCACACTTAAATAAGACACAATCAATTTCAGTGAGATATAAGAACTTGTTTTTAGACAGTGCATGTTGGATCTGGAGAATTTTCACTTGTTCCATTGGCAGATTTTTTCACTTATTTCAAGCAAAAATATCTCGTATTAAGATGTCCAAGCTGTGAGCTGGTCCCACAGAAGAGGGGCCTGAAAACTGAAGGCTCTGCCTCCCATTCTACTTTTAAATACTCTAGGAACAACAAGTAAGCTTTGTTCCCATACTTGAAACAAACTGTCAAGTTTCATAGCTAATGCATTCATACCATGAATACTGGTGGAGGACTGTGTTCAAGTCCTCCACCAGTATGTCAATGTTCATTTTTTCACCCTGACAGAGAGCGCCAAAACGACACCAAGCGCATGTTTGTCTTTTTGAGCTCTATGTCTTGTGGGTAAATTGCAACGTCATTCTTCAAGCTTTTACACAACTCTGTAGCTGCTACCCGTCCTCAACTACCAACGTTAATCAACAACAAAACAATTCTGAGCTACTTCCCTTTATTCCCTTTATTATTAATGTTGGTCACCATGCATTGACAATGTCTTCAACATTCCTTCATCTCCTGTTCTCTTCATGATAAATATTCAACTGAAATAATGCTTGTTAGGTCATCATTACTCACCCAGGCCAACACTGCTGTTCTCCAGCAGATAACTCAGATGGTCAAACATGGCTTTCTGGTTCTGACGGCTGATTCGACAGAAGTAACATAGAAAACGACAACAGTTGGCCACCATTTTTGGAAAGGTGATTTCCTGAAAACACACGTGCATCACAGGTTGTTAGACAAAATGTCCCTTTGTGTTTATTTATCTGAAAATAATTCAGGGGAAAAACATATATTTAAAACATTTTGTGACACATAATTTATTTGAAATACAAATGCAACATTTCCCCATTGCTCTACCATTCTTCATCATGACTCTTCAGTATGTCAGCACTATTACTACTACATACCTTGGAGTCTCCTCCACTGAGCACATTGACCATGACCTCCATGACAGTCTCGTGCATTCCCAACGCTCTCATCAGGTTAGGATGTTGGTAAAACACTTTGTTGTTCATGATATCTCTGAGAGGAAGAAGGATGGGTGAAATTTAAACCGACAGCTCAAACTCTTTCATATATTAACTGTTTAATATTTGACCAGAGTGTTTTGTTATTACAACAGTGATATTCAGGTTTTGACATTTAAAAGAGCTTCATGGGTGCTCATTTTTATTATAAGGCTTTTGGATAAAACCAAGTGAGAACAGTTTTGGGTCAAGTGCTACCAACAATGTCTAAAATGAAAAAAGCTGCCTCAAAAACCAGACTTCGTTTTAGTTTAAAACCTAATCTCAAACCTAATCTGGGTCACCAACAATGTTGATCTTAACAAACATCTGTCAAATGGAACCAGAGTGCATTTTCAAAGTTGCTAGCAATGGGAATCGCATGCTTGTGACATTAAATCCACCAACTGACTACAAGGAGATTAATAAGAGGAAACGGGATCATTTCCTTGTATGAAGCAAACCACAATTAGCCACTAGGGAAGAGGACCCATCACCTAAAAGCAGCAATCAATAATGTGAAGGTTACCTATATGACACATGTGCACATGTATTGTGTAGCTTCAGCTAGACTATAGATGTCAACAGTTATCTATCTGCCAGGATTAGCTGGTAAATGCTACCAAGTCCACCTTTACCTTGCCAAGCAAGCTAAAGTGGGACTTGGAAACCACATTAGAGTAACTTGAGCTATGTGAAGCAGACCAAGTTACTAGTTGCAAGCAATCTAATGCACTCCAATGCAAGACAATTTGTTGCTTTGTATTTAAGTGTATAATAAAGTGCTGAAGACGAGGCATAGAATATGTTTGCTGAGTGGTATCAATCCTGACAGGAAGGCTGCTCTAGATCAAGATGCTGCAAATTGTCTGTGAAAAATGCAACCAAAAGAAAGACTTTTGTGCATGAATACAGGTGTTCTTTGGGCACAAAGGTTTGCAAACCATTGAAACAAAGCATATAACCCATAGGTAAAGTGAAATGTTCCTGTTTTTATTGTGCTGGACTGAGATATACAGATTATGTGTGCCTAAGCCATATCCTTACATGGACACTCTTTAAAGTTAGTCTGAGCAGTTACCCAAGAAGTAAAAGAATACTTGAAGACAAAAGTCCATCTACGACTAAGAGCTGTTAGAAATGCTGAATTTGTTTTTATGTGCCTGTAGGGCATTCTGTAGATAGATTAAAAATCAAATATACACACATGCACAAAATTGTAATTGCTCTGTTTCTGAACTTTCATTCACATAAATATTTGTTTACATTTTTCCTCTTCTTGTTGGGAGTTAAAGCAAGTCTAAAGAAGAAAGTACTCCAAAGAAAACAAATCATTCAGACATGCAAGAGCCTGACAGATAAGCGTGCTCTCACCCCAGCCCTCTGATCATCAGTTTCTCCTCCTCTCTTCCCATGCGCACACTCAGCAGAGATCTGATCTGACCGAGAGCCGCTAACAGGTTGATGGTGTCCTCGATTGATACTGAGTTTATAGTGTAGGTTTTAGGAAGAGCCCGCACCTGCACAGACATATTCATACCTTATTAAACTGATTGACATACATTTAATATACAAGCAGAAGCACTGTTACTGTGCAAACGGAGCATGATATTTCACATCTGTACCTGAAGTAAGGAGAGATAAATGAATACACAGAAATTAACAACTTACATTGTTCTTTTCAAATAACTGTAGTGTTACTGTGAGAGTGCAATCTGATGTGGGACAGAAGGATTTTAAATGAAATTTTAATTCTAATTTAATGCTTTTAACAAGGATCAATTGAAGAGAAGCTAATATAGGAGAAACACGGGCTCTCTTTCAAGTTCCAGTTCGTATTCTTGCTGCACCATTCCGGATCAGCTGAAGGCGGTTCAGGGAGTTCTTACAGAGCATCACTCTGAGACGGGATGTTTCTAATATTAGTGACACTGTGCAAATAAATGAAGAACGTCCCACATGTTTGTTTGATTTGTGGAACTTGTTGTACTAGACTTGATTATCTGGTGAATTTATGACCACATCATCTGAACAAAGCTGACAGTCGGCCTCTGGTGAACTGGTAGGCAGGTCACTTTTCAACAAATTGAAAAGTAGCACCAAGGATTGTTTGCATGTGCATTTTTTGCTTTCTTAACAATTGTTTTGTTCAATCTGATCTACTTGACAGTTGCCAGATTTATTGTTTGGGACCCCAGGAAGTGTGTCACATATGGAGCAGGCTGTATAGCCGCTCCTCATATTTTCCTAAAAGAACAACTCTCACATCAGATTGTTACAAATATAGCATGACTATATTGTATACATTTATTTGGAGATTCCACTGGTATGGATTTTCTTTTCTATTACACATACAAACCTGTCCACCTATGCCATCATACTGGCGGTGAAGTAGGACAAACATAGCTCTGACCAGCTCTGGATCCTCTATAACTGACTCCTGAGCCCAGCGCACCATCGTATCGGAAATGAGCTGTTGTAAGGTACCTTAAGGAGAAGGACAGAGAAGGAGGAAGGGAGAGCAGGTCAGAGATTGAATGTCCTGAAGTCAAAGATCTTATTTACTTTTTTTGTCTCATTGCTACTACACTGTTAAAAAAAACATCGTGAAAAAACTGTAATATTCCGGCAGCTGGGGCACCAAAATACTACCGTAAAATAACAGAAAATAACTTCCTCATAAAAATACGGTTATTTCCAGTAATGAAAATAGAGTTTGTTGAGCTAATTTTACATGGGATTCTGCCTTTTCCAAGTGCTTTTAGACATCAAATTAGGAACATTTTAACGTGATCAAACAATGAAATTACCTGTAAACAAGGTCAATGAATGTGGCAATATGAATCATAATACGTAAATGTACAGAAATATACAGTTAACAGTTGGTTTAAATAATAATCGATTGCATTCCCTGGGACAGACTGACAAGTTGTTTTCATGTGCTACGTGCAGAGATGTTTTTTTCTGTTCTCAAACTGATCTCCCTGTTGGAGCTCAGTCTGGGGGGAGTGATTTTTGTTATCCTTATCTTTCCTCATGTGGTGCATTTTCCATTGTTATACCTCCTTCCCCATGTGATGTTTTGTGTAATGTATGTATGATCGGAGGGTAAGATGGCGCCGCCATTGCGTGCAATAGGTCGGCAGGTTTATGAAATTTCCCCTTGTGGGAGTAATAAAGGTATATCAAATCAAATCAAATCCATAGCATTACATTTGAATTCAACAGTTCGATCTTTCAAATAACGGACAGATATTTGTGAGATCATGATACATTTGTGAATGTATTTTAACAATCTAAATATGCATATGTACAGACAGATACAGTTAATAATCATGAAAATTATGTTTTATTACATTACAGTGATTTAACGTTAATTTACATTTGAAATGTGAAATCAGTCTATTTACGTAACTTTAATGATGTTCTAGAAGAACAGAACAAAACTGTGAAATGCAGTAAAATACTTTTATATTAGGATGTTTTCCTACAGTGCAGCCGCGACCTTGTGGTTGTTAGTTCACATTCATTGGCCGATGCTTAGCGTCATGTTATTATGTGTCCCAACATCCAATGGCATGTCACATTGTTTTCATGGCCATACCCTCACCCCAGGTGCAGAGGCCAATTTCTGTTCAGGAATGTTGTGAATACTTTGAGATTTATATTAATTGCAATTCCTGCCTCTACATTTATTTATTTATTTTGAATTTAACAGATCATTCTCTCACATAACAAACAAATATTTGTGAAATTATGATACATTTCTGAATGTATTTTTACAATCTGAATATGCACAAAAAAATATATTTACAAAACAAGTAAATTGTGTTTTATTATATTTACAGTGATGTTATGTTATTTTACCTTTGACATGTAAAATCACAGTCTACTTATGTAAATTTAATGATATTTTAGAAAGACTGCAACTGTAAAATGTACAGTAAGATACTTTGACATTACTATTTTTGGAACAGTGTAGGCTTGTACATTTTCCTATTCATTGAGAATTACTAGCAGCTCATTTAAGAATGGCCTTACTGGGTTTCCTGTCTTTTTTTTCCTTTGGCAGGTTGGCCATCTTCTTCTTTAGATAAGCCACTTTCTCCACCAGTGACATGAGTCGACCTCGTATGGTGAAGTCACTGTCACAGTTTATGCCTCTCTCCTCGTCCAACTCTATACCTAGCAAAATGGGCAGATCAATGCATGTATGGTATGTCTACAATTAATGAATACTGACTATACACACATTACTGTTATATTTATTAAATGATATTATGCCTATTGATCTTATTCTGGCAACTGTAGTTAATGCAGCAGTGTATTGTGAAACTGACCACAGTGCCTCATCAGATCTTCATGGAAGTCTAGCAGCTGTTCTCGGATGTATTCAGGACAGGGACACTCCTGCTTCTCATCCTTAAAGTTTAACAGCATGTTGATCTGCAGATTGGTAAGAGAACCTTTAAAGCGACCATTAGATTTTCAATATGGAAATCCAAAGTACATACACATGTTTAGTTACAAGTTACAAGATGGTGTGAAAGCTGAAAGCTTTACTGAAATCATACATGTTGTGCTTTTGGCAGGACCTTTCTGCACTTTGCACAAATGAAAGCCTGGAGACCTCAATGAGCAGAAGAAACACTGTAAAGCTCAGTGGACCAAAATTCTTCCACAACGATGCAAGAGAAAATGGTCCTTTTAGGTTATTGCTGGTAAAAGTGGCTCTACAACATGTCTGTTTAGCTTCTCAGTGATCCAAGTCATGGTACTCTTAAGAGCCTTAAAAGAAGATGACTGGACTATAAAACTTTTGAAAACATTTCACCTCTCGTACAAGAGGCTTCTTCAGTTCTAAAACCAAGAGAGTCCCAGGTTTTTAAAACGGTAATATTTAAACCCAGTGGGACAGTGGCGTGGGGCAACGCCTCCCAGTGGTTTCACTCCAACATGTGAATCATCACATGTGGAAAAAAGTTGTGGATCGCTATCACCAGAGGCTTTGGCTGAAACCATTGTGAGACCTTGCCTTACCTTATCATATGACCTAATGAAGTCACTTGACACAAGATGTAAGTGGGGCCTGGGGGCCTGAGGTACCTAGGAGGGGTTGCTGGGGGATCGCTGACAGTTGGTGTCGTAAGCACAGTTGACCTAGACGTCCTCTTTTGCTCCTATAAACCATCTGTTTTCTCGGATCAAGCTGTGAATGCTGGCATGCATGAAAGATTGACCTTTATCTTTTAGGTGTAGATGTACAGCCAAGTCTTGTCCTGTTGAGGTGGCCCTTCTATGCTATGCCATGCATTTTTGGAGTGGCTGTTTGGTTTCTCCAATGTAGAGGTGTCACCTGTCCTCACTGCACAGCACAGCATACACTATGTTGCTTAGTCTGTGTTTGTTTTGTACTTGGGTCAAATCAGCTTTTGTCTGTGTGTGGCTGGGTCTGAAGTAAAGTGGGATGTCACTTTTGGAGAAAATTCTCCTGTTTCTCTTACAAACCTGCTAAATAAGGGGTGCAAAGTTGTTCTGTTTGTCTTTCTTGTCCTCCCTCGCTGGTGTCTGACCTTTTTTTTCTGTGCATCTTTGCTGACTTTATGAACGCCCAATTATGATGTTTTAAGAGCTTCCTTTACATGCGTGTGTTCCTTCTTTTTCCCTTCAGGCTTAGAGGGAACATGTTTTTGCCCGGTGGTGTAGGGTCCTGATTACTCCAGGTTTGTGTTCCAGAGGGTGATGGGAGTACTGGTCCGTGTGTGTGGGCTTCCGGTAAACTTCGATGTTGAGGTTTCCATTCTCCTTAATGTGCACGGCGCAGTCCAGGAAAGGCAAACAGTCGTCCTTTGTGTCTTCCCTGGTGAAATTTATGTTTTTAATCACTGAGTTGATGTGAGCAATGAAGGATTCTACTTTTTGGATTTTGATTTTGACCCAGGTATCGTCAACATATCTGTACCGATAGCTAATACTATCCCTTTAAAAGAGCCAAGAGTATACTTCAGACCCGGCCACACACTCAGACAACAACTGGTTCATCCCAAAGACAAAACTCCTAAACACAAACTTAACAACGTAGTGCATGCTGTGCAGTGTAGCGAGGAACGCCCAGACCTCTACATTCGAGAGACCAAGCAACCACTGGCATAAACACATTGCACAACAAGACTTGGCTGTTCATCTGCATCTAAAGGTCAAAGGTCACTCTTTCGAGGATGCCAATGTTCACATGCTGGACAGAGAAGACAGATGGTTTTAAAGAGGACTGAAAGAAGCATCTATGTCCACTGTGAACGGCCATCTTTGAACAGAGACGGGGCTTATGACACCAGCTGTCAGTGGTGAGATCCCTTCCCAGATGCCTTAACGCCCACTCACTGCCTTCTGACCTCAGTATATCACATGATAGAGTGGGGCCAGGTTTCACTATGGGTTCACCCTCAACCTTGGCTGATTAGCTGACAGTTTGCAAAAACTGTGTTTCTATACAAAGCCAAATTAAAATAAAATGTGTATGTAAGTCGCATTATTTACTGCTCTTCACTGAGCAAGAGTCCTCTGCTTGGCAACCATTTGAATTACAGAAAATGGTTACAGTTATATTTATGCTTTATGTTGTTCTGTGGTGTTCCCACCTGTTCCTGTGGGGGAGATCTGAACTCTTTGGTCTTCTTGGCAGTAAGGGCTGCAGACATGTTGAGTGCCAGCATCACCTCATTGTAACGAAATCGTTGGTTTTCTTGGAGACAAGCCACAAAGTCATCAGAGAAGGCCACCACTGCCTCAATACGATGGCGCACCTGGCAGTCACACAGGTACTGCAGCACATGACACATCTACACACACATACACACACACACACAAACAAAATGACATGGTTTAAAGAAGAAATTTTAAAAAATGCACATAGTGGCCATTAGGAAATCTCTTTCTAAAGCGATTTCGATATTAGGGGAAAGTTCTCATTCTGTGAAAAATGCCAAATCATACTGTTCCCTATCTATCATTGTAGGATTTCAACCCTCAACCTAAGTCAAGACCATGCATGACCCTACAAAACTGACAGATGACGTCAATGCAGAAATCCTGCACAAATGAATTGGTGTCATTACATCATTAAAAAGCTTGTTTAAAGCCCGGTACAAAGAATGTCTCGTTTCTGTTTTTTATGGTAAGTATGATAGGAATTTTACCAGAAATTTCACCAGAAATTCTTGGTGTAGCTGCCTCTGTAGGAACAAGAACATTTAGAATTTGCCATAAGATCTGGGTCTTACTGCATGATTCTGGTTCTGGGTTCAGCTTTTTCTTTGATTGGGAACTTTCTGTGGAGTTCGTTCATTCAACCATCTGCTTCTAAAGATAACTGGCAATCTAAATTAGGCTGTCAATATGAGAGTAAATAGCTTTCTGTCTCTTTATGTCAGCCTTGTGATGAAGTGGTGAACTTTTTAAGAAGTACTCCATGTCTCATCCCACGAGACCTAGAGTGTAGCCCAAAGTAGCTAAGATAACTCATGGATAAGTGTTCTTGCAGCATAACTAAGTGGTGGTTTAGCGTTAACCGGTCCACCCCTAACTATAAGCTTTACCAAAAGGGAAAGTTTTAAGCCTAATTTTAAAAATATAGAGAGTGTCTCTCTATCTATATAAATCCAAACAGGGAACTGGAAGAGGGACCAAATAGCTGAAGCCTCTTCCTTCCATTCAGATTTTAAATACGCTAGAAACCCCAAGTAAGCCTGCAGTCTGACAGAGACGTGATCTGTTAAGAAAATACAGATCACTTGTTAAGATTTGTCCCACATTCATGTGTGTCTTCAAGACACGATCTGCACTCACAGATCACGACAACAGTGCAGTGGTTTGAATACCTACAGCATGCTCTAATCGCTGTAATAAAATGTTATGATCAGTAGCACTGAATGCTATTGGACAAGCACAGAGATGAGTCCACTGTCAGAGGCCATAAGAAGATCATTTGTAACCTTCACTAAAGCTGTTTCTGTGCTGTGATGAGCTCTGAAACCTGACTGAAACTCTTCAAATAAACATCCCTTTGCAGATAATCAGTTAGCTATTTTACAACTACTCTTTCAAGGAGTTTTGAGATAACAGATGGTTTGGAGGAAGTAATTACTTAAGTCAGAAAGATCAATCTGTAAATATTAATGGCACTGAAAGTAGCTGTACATAATGGTCCATTTGAGATGCTTATTTTTTCTCTAATGGTTCAAATTTCATTTGTGAAGAAGTTCATCACGTCATTACTAGTCAACATTAAAGGCCCAACAGAGCTGTGACTTTTTGTCAGCCTGGCTAAAGTGCTGAATACAAACCTAGGGTTGTTCTTATGTTCTTCAATCAGTGATGAATAATAAGATATTCCAGCTTTATGGAGGGATTGAATATGAAGGAGCAAACTATTTCTCCAGGCTAAATGATGATCTTCTCAATTTCTGAGACACCATTTCCTCTCTAGCTTACGTGTTATCTGCTTTAAGGTGCATATTTGTGAGCTACACCAGGGCATGAAGTACTTCTGATTTAAGGCTTTCTCTTTCAGAGGAGCAACAGTATCCAGTTGTATTAAGTGAAGATGTAAAAATATTAACAAGATAATCGACCTCTGCGGGAGTAGCATTCAGGTTGCTGCTCTGGACACAGAAGAAGGTAACAGTGGAGTAAATCAATCTGTTGATCAATTATTAAATCATTTACTAACAGCGACTTGGAAAAGACGACCGTATTATTTAAAAATTCTATGTGAAAGGGCCTTTATGGTATGTGATGTATTAAGTTATTATAATTTCTCCGGTACTTCGATGATGCATAACTGCACAACATATATTTACCTTTGCTCCCATGTCTGATTGAGACTTTTGCACAACTGAAATTCTTCTTCCGTCTTTACACTTGTGTTGTGTTTTTCCAAGAAACCAGAACCATGTGCTTACATTGGATTGTTGAATATTCTGATTTAATTTCAGTATACTGCTCACACCATCTTGGCACCTGGATGTCAATGATAAAATGTCTCAAGATTTGTCATAAGCTATGTTTTTTTTACTTTGTTGCTTTCTACAGCTTTGTTATCACAGCCAGAGAAGCTGACCTCAGTGCTGATCACATCAGCTTATAGCTAATGTCCTTTTACACACACTACTTCATGTAGGGATTCCTATTTCGGCATGACCTCTACACAGTCTATAAAATCACTTAGGTCAGGTAATATGTGAGTTAATGAAAGTTGTATCAGTTGTCACTGATGCCTGTCCAGTTCTACGCTTTGGGTCTTCCTCGGTCTCGAGATTTCCTTGCATGCACATGGAGGGTCCTAGTTACTAGTTGGAATAACTATAATAATCCCAACTGAAATATAAACAGAATATGACCTTTACCTTAGCAAACAAAAATGGTAAACAACAGTGAATTTCTATATAAGAAATGCATTTCCAAACTGGGAGTTTCTACTTAGTGTCACCTGGAGTTTTACAGGCTCTGGCAGCTTCATCTCTAACAGTCCTTCTTTGGGGACATTCAGCACTCCCTCCTTTCCTCCTCCTTCGGCTTCACCCTTCTTTAGCACCTCCAACTCCATGCAAAGTGCATCCTGCTTATTGCGTCGTTCACAGAACACAGAAGGTTCAATCAGTCGGAGGATATTCTTCAGATCTCCGTTTTGGAAAACGCCCATGATGAGCATAGTATATAACAGCTTGATGAGTGGAACAAATAGAAACTCTGTGCTTCCTCCTACTGGGTCCCGTACGTGCATGCTTCCCTCCCGTACTGCCTCTGTCAACATCTCAATGGTTTTAACTTTCAGTATATCTAAGGGGAATTCAGGGCTGTACTGGAAACAATCTCCTGATCCACTGTTGCCGTTGTTAAAGCACGATGGTCCGGGCCTGGAAACAAAATTTGGGGATGTGAAGTGCATTCTGGGTCTCAAAGAGGTGCTGAGTCCAATGCCTGGCAGGCCATGTTTCTTCTTTTCATTTGGGAACAGAGTGATGCTCTTTGTGTCATTGGTCATGGGAACAATGTACTCATTGTTCATCATGAGGCGAGCTGTAGCATAGCTGCTCAGGTGGATGTCGATGAGGAGGTCATAGTAGCCAGCACGAAGAAGACCTGTGAGGACAGACAGAACAAGTTTGATGTCTGCCCTGTAACGTTTACATGCTTCTTTATCATGTTCAGTACTATTGCACATATTAATTCTTCTTATGTTTATTGTTTTATGGACTATCTAAGGTGCCAAGGTCAAAAAATTAAATGAAATGAAAAAATATTACACTATTCATATTCTTAACCAGCTGTCCGATTAAGGGTTGTGGTTTTACTCAGACAATTGGAACAGTATTTTATAAGGCTAACGCTGAGAAATAGACATAGATTCAGAAAAAAAATTCAAGAGTTTCTATAAAGTAGGTTTACTATATAGAAAATTGAGAATGAGAATATGCTTTATAAGCAGTGTGTCTGTTACCTGGCATATATTTATTCTCTATAGCGTAAAGGAGCTGTGCCTCATCCACGTGGGAGCAGAGGGCATGAGCTACTCGGTTGTTTCCCAGAGCACAGATGGCAGAGTACAGTCTGAGGGTATGGTAGTGAAATTTTAATAAGTCCTTCTGCTCTGACAGTTCCAGGATATCCAACGACCTGAGCAACAGAAAGGTACACACTGCATGAGAAATGTGAGGGAGGAAGGATGAAAAGGTGTGTGTGTTTAGCTGTGTGGACTGTACCTGTTCTCCTCAGGAATGTGCAGAGACATGAACTGCAGAGGTTTGTTACACTGCACCAGCCAGCCATGTCGATCATTTGCTCTGGATACTGAGACCTGGACAAAAGTCATACACAACATACGCTACATTTGAGATTATTTTTCAGTACTACAGAAAACTCTATATGAAAAGATATTTATCCATCCATCCATGAACGGCTTATCCCAGCTGCCATAGATAGAGACAGAAAACCGTTACCTATCGGGCAATTTAGACTGGCCAATTAACCTAGCCCGACTAACTGCATGTCTGTGGAAGGAAGCTAGAGTACTCAGAGAGAACCCACACAAACTCAGGAAGAATGTGCAAACTCCACACAGAAAGGCCCCAGCCAGGTGGTGGAAATGAATTTATTTAAATCCCACAATAAAAATCCATCCCTCCATCTATTTTCTTCCTCTTAATTGGGACCAGGTCACAGGGCAGCAGCCTAAGCACCTCCCACAGGACTCCCCAAGGGACATGGTCAAATGTGCTGCTGACTTCGACTGAGGACATTGTTGGGTGTTGGAAGGAATGCTTCGCGGATTTCCTTAATCCCACTGACACGTCTTCCTTAGAGAAAACACCCAAACTCAAGTATTTGCTTCAGCCACTGCCCCGTTCTGCTTGGCCTGTTGGTACCTACCGGCTGCTTCCGAAGTCCCTCAGGCTAACCAAGCTCAATAGGACTCCTTCCATGGCTGATGGTTCCCTTCCCCTCTGGGGTTGACCATCTGGTTCGACATCTGGTTCGGTGGTTGGTGCATGACAGGCACCAACCACCTTGCGGCCACAACTCAGTGCAGCAGCTTCAGCAGTTTTGGTCCTGAACGTGGACCATTTGGACTCAGTGTCCCCAGTCTCCCTCGGAATGCTGTCTAACTCTGTTGGAGGTGGGAGTTGATGCAGGCGAAAGGGATATTGGATACCCACCCCATCAGCCCAGCACATATTGCACCTGACCCCTACGGTGCCTCCTGCAGTTTACCATGACCTAGCTGAAGTATTTAGCAAGGAGTTGGCTCTCTCACTTCCTCCGCAGAGACCATATGACTGTGGATGTGATCTGCTCTTGAGGGCACCACTCCCCACCAGTCACCTGTACAGTCTTTCTAAGCCGAAATGGGAGGCCATGGAACACTAAATCAGTGATTCTCTGGCAGCTGGAATAATCCGCCCTTCCAAGTCAGCACTCAGGGCGGGGTTCTTCATTGTGGAGAAAAAGGCCAAGTCCCTCCAAACAAAATAACGATAAAGAACAAGTATCCCCTGCCATTGTTATCTTCTGCTTTTGAACTGTTACAAGAAGCCACCATTTTCACAAAATTGGATTTAAGGAATGCCTATCATTTAGTAAGGATCAAGGAAGGGGATGAGTGGAAAACAGCTTTCAATACCTCCCTGTTATATTTCTAAAATGTGAGTTCCAAGTTCAGTCTGTCGCATTTTGGGGGGTTCATTGTGGAACAGGGATGGGGCGATCGTGACTCAAGAGTTGGGAGTTTGCCTTGTAATCGGAAGGTTGCCGGTTCAAGCCCCGGCTTGGACAGTCTCGGTCGTTGTGTCCTTGGGCAAGACACTTCACCCGTTGCCTACTGGTGGTGGTCAGAGGGCCCGGTGGCGCCAGTGTCCGGCAGCCTCGCCTCTGTCAGTGCGCCCCAGGGTGGCTGTGGCTACAATGTACCTGCCATCACCAGTGTGTGAATGGGTGGATGACTGGATGTGTAAAGCGCTTTGGGGTCCTTAGGGTCTAGTAAAGCGCTATACAAATACAGGCCATTTACCAGGGCCAGCTGCAGGTGGATCCAGCTAAAATTAAGGCAGTGGTAGAATGGCCGGAGCCCCAGACTCATAAGCAGCTGCAGAGGTTTCTGGGCTTTGTAAATTTCTACAGCAATGATTTCAGTCGCATTGCTCTGCCCTTCGCATGTTTAACCTCTCCCAAAGTTCCTTTCCAGTGGGCTCCTGTGGCGCAGCAACCATTCTCCGAACTCAACAATAAGTTTGCCTCCATGCCCATCTTGCTGCAACCAGACCTCTCTCAGCCATTCATAGTAGAAGTGGACACGTCGGATCTGGGAGTTGGAGCGGTGTTATCCCAGCACTCTGGGGGTAAGCTTCACCCATGTGCATATTTCTCTCGTTCAGGCTGAGCGGAACTATGACGAGGGAGATCGAGAATTGCTGGCCATAAAGCTCGACTTGGAGGAATGGAGGTGCTGGCTAAAAGGGACGGAGCAGCCACTGATCATCTGTAAAGGCCGCAAAAACCTCAAGTACCAGCAAACGGTGAAGCGCCTCAACTATTGCCAAGCCAGGTGGGCCCTGTTCTTCACTCGGTTCAATCCGACCATCCTGCCTGCAGCCTGCATCATAGGGGCCCTCACATGGGAGACTGAAGGTCTAATGAGAAACGCAGAGTGGGAAAAACCCGACCCTGGAACGGGCCCTCCTAACTGACTATACAGAACCACCGCAGTGCGCAGCAAAAGGATTCAGTGGGCCCACTCTGCTAAGTTTAACTGTGGATAAGAACCGCACAATAACACTCATGTAACGCTTGTTCTGGTGACCGTCACTAGCTCGAGATGTCCAGGATTTTGTTTCTGCTCGTTATACCTGTGTGCATTATAAGGCCTCCAACTCTCCACCAGTTGGGTTTCTCAGGTCCCTGCCTATTCCCAGGAGACCCTGGTCGCACATCGCCCTGGATTTCATAAGTGGACTACCACCATCCTCAGGTAATGCCACTATATGGACCATTGTGGATTGTTTTTCTAAAGCTGCACATTTCATTGCTCTGCCCAAGTTTCCCATCCCCTTGGAGACAGCAAAGCTGTTGACTGTTCATTGTTCTGCCTTGGCATAGCTCAAGACATTGTGTCCGATTGGGGTCCACAGTTCACATCATGGGTTTGAAAGGAGTTTTTGCTCTGTTCTGGCTGCCCAAGTAAGTCTTTCCCAGACCAACAGAGAGGGCAGAGAGGGCCAACCAGGAGCTGGAGGCAGCTCTATGTTGTGTGGTTTCTTCTTAACAGTCCCACTGGAGCTCTCAGCTGTCATGGGTGGAATATGCCCATAAATTGATGACCTCCTCAGCCAGCCAGTGTCACTGTTTGAGGTTTCACTGGGATATGAACCTCCGCTCCTTTCCATCACTGAAGGGGAACCCTCAGTTTAACACCATCTCCATCGTCCTGCCTTTGCATTCCTGACATACACGTTGTTCGGCCAAGCTTTAGCTATCAGAAAAATGGCCTCAGTTTTGATTTTAGAATATTTTGGTATATACAGTCATGGCCAAAAGTTTTGAGAATGACACAAATATTGGTGATGAATTAGAATAGCAGACTGGATGCGTTACAAAGAAGGGTGATGCTTGAAACATAGGCAGCCATCAATGTGTTGCATGTAAAGGCCTTCACAGGCAAGTATGTTGTTGCTACTAAGATCGCACCTAAATCAACTGGATCATCGGATTATCAGATCATCAAGAACTTCAAGGAAAGAGGTTCAATTGTTCTGAAGAAGGCTTCAGGGCACCCAAAAAATCCAATAAGTGCTAGGACTGTCTCCTAAAGATGATTCAGCTGCTGGATCGGGATGTTGGCCATCACGGAGTTGGCCATGGGGGATACTATTGTCAAACACGATAATTTCAGTTTTCCTGTCATTTAGAATAAGAGAATTACCTGCGAGCCAATTTTTGACCTCGTGCATGCACTCGTGAAAGCCGTGCAAAGACATAACGGGATCATCAGTTAATTCGAAATAGATCTGTATGTCGTCAGCAGGACAATGATCCCAAGCACACCATCAATTCCAAGTCTAAATGAAAAAAAATATATACAAATGAACACTTTGCTAAAATTCCTTCATAGTGCTTTGACAGATTTATGGCCAAGGATGGCACAACCAGTTATTACTGCAAATATTTTGGATTTACCTGGGTTATGTTTGTCTAATATTAAAATGTGTTTGAGCTTAACCATATATTAAATATGTTAAAAAAAAAAAAAAAAAAGAAGGGAAATAAACAAGAAATCAGCAACGGGGCAAATGTTTTTTTTTCACATGATATTATATTTAATGCCATTTGAGTCTCTATGACAGATGACATAGAAATGGACTATAAAATGGGCCATTACTTGAAAAGCTGTCTTAGACTATTAAGCTCTTTCTACCAGAGAAGATTTGACAAGTTTTTCATGGGTAAAATCCACATACTAAACTCTGCAGCGCAAACCACACATGTGTTTTCCTTACAAATGTGGCACAATTTAAGGGGAAATAATCAGTCATGCCAGTGGCATGAGATTTAATTTAAAAGTAGTGCTTTATTATATGAGATGCTTATGAAGGGCGGATAGTGTACACACTCTGCATGAGTTTGCAGGTGGCAGGTTTGTGTCCCGGGCCTGTAATAGTAATGCAGAACTATAGTAAGACACTGTTACCTTAAGGAAGTGGTTGGAAACACGACTCCATAAAACAGGAGTAAGAAACTGTACGTGCAGCCGTGGAGGACATTGGGAAACTGGATTCTTCTTCTCACTCTTAAACAGACCAGCTGATAGAGGCATCACATTCTGACAGGACACAGAGAAAAAGTTGGATAATGACCAAATACATACATATCTATATACATCTCTCTGTCTCTCT